GGAGATGGGGGTCTCACTACATCCCTAAGTGAGCTAGGCTGGGTTCTAGCTTCTGATCCTCCTGCCTCAGCCTCTCTGAGTGCTACATGTTTTTACTTCAAGGAAAAGACTGCCTCCTGCTGGAGTTAAAAACAAACAACAACCAAAACCCACTTCCGCACTATGCAAGTTTTCTCTCCTCTCCCAGGGGATGTGCACCTGGACTTCTTCCGTCACCCTGGTGTGGCCCTCCGTCCCCGATCACAGACCAAGGCGACAGCTCCACGCTACCAAGACCAATAATGGCGTCTGTGAACATCTATTTCCCGCTAACAGAAAACAAGCGGCTACACCAAGTACCCCAGGGAGGTATGGCAAACTCCTAAGGCCCAGGGCCTCCCGGAGTGTGAATTTCCCTGGGAACTTGGCCTGGGAACTCAGTCGGGTCTGCCCGGCAGGCTGGTGTGCACATCCCATCGTAGGTGGCCTCAGAAGCCCGCCTGGCAGCCCAGGATGCCCCACCACTGCCCTGCGATGGAAAGGCACTTCCTCTGCTGCTTACAAAGGGTCCTTGGGACCTGTGTCCACGAGGGTTATCCCTGGAAGGACAGGAGGAGGCGGCTTTGGCGGCCACGGCCACGGCTCTTACCTGCGCGGTGAAGAAGGCGGGCGTGAGGGAGCCCGAGGGGAGCGCCGGGCTGTTGAGGGCGATGGAGCCGAGGTCGGCGCCGGAGAGCACCAGCGGGGGTGCGGAGATTTCCAAGCCTTTGGGTTTTTTGCCTTTGGGGGGAAGAGACGGAGACTTGGTCTTGGAGCCCGACGACAGGTTCAAGGGCTCCAGGGAATCCGAGTCTTGGCCGGTGGCCTCCAGGAAGAGGCTTCTGTGCTCAGAAGGGAGGGGCGAGTGGGGGGACAGGGAAGGGGACCGAGAGGAGGAGGGCGAGGCGGAAGAAACGCTGGCGACGTCCGGCAGCATTAGAGAGGAGATCTTGGCTGAGACGGACGAGGCCAGGAAGGCGGAGGCCGCGGCGGCGTCCGAGGCGGAAGGCAGGGACACCACGGGCCTGGTGACGTGCTTGCTGCTTTTATTGGCCACAAACCTGATCACAGTCCGGACCTCGTCCACCGGGGGGCTGTCTTCGAGGGGCTCCTCCAGCTTCTCCGTCTTGATGGCCTTGAAGGCCTCCGGGGGGCTCTGCAGGGAGTTAATGGTGAAGGCCGAGTAGAGACCCGAGTGCAGGTACTCGTTGCGGCCGGCGCTCTTGAGGGCGGACAAGCCGTGCTTGTCAGGGGCCGCCTTACAGTCGCTGTCCTGCAGCAGAAGGCTCTCCCGGCTGATCTCCACCGTGTGCGGGTCCATCTTCAGGATCTCGGGGAAGGAGACGAACTTGTACACAAACTTCTGCCCAATCACCTTCTTGATGATGTTCTGCAGATACAAAAGGAGACACTGAAGGTGTGAGCGCCCGCACACCCTCCTGCGTCCCCAGTCTGGCCCCAGGGGCACAGGAGGCTGCAGGACCGGACGCACTGGGCCCTGCCGGGCACTAGGGGCGCGGCCCCCGGTAGACCGATGGCCTTTTGTGGTCTCCCCTCCGCCCAGCGAGGACTGGTATTCCTGATAACGCAGTGCAGCCGGCCCTAACCCTGTGACTGGGATTTTTCTTATCTTACTTTAGGTATCTGTACAGCAAGCCTAGGAGGAGGACATTGTTATTTCTATTTTTAAAAGTAAGAGGGCCAGGGATGTGGCTCAGTGGTACAGCAATTGCTTAATGTGCCCAAGGCCCTGGATTTGATCCCCAGCACTGCAAAAGCAAGCAAGCAAACAAACAAAAAAGTGAGATGGTTTTAGAGCACTTAAATAAACCATACAGTCACCCAGTAGGCGAATACACCCAGCTGCACTCTCTGCAGTGTTCCTTCCTGGGCTGCATTCCAGTGTTGTCTCTCCTACCTCTGGGAGTTAGGAGAACAGAGAATAAGATGCGAGGAGAGCACAAGAGCTACAGAAACGTTAAGTCACCGTTGCCAGTGCCACCTCGTTTGCTTACGTCATGTCTCCATGTTTGCCTTTTTCATTTTGTGCCGAGAAAGTTGCCGGAAGAGAGATTGTCTACTTGGATATTTACAGCATCCCTGTAGTATTCTAAGTAGCTAGTGTCTCCTTCTGGCTGCTCAGTTTAGGCCCCCATCCGCAAACGTTAGAGATGCAAAGGAACCACAAAAATCATTGCAAAGGTTTCCACAGTGCTTTGGAACTGGGGATTTTCAGTGAAAGGGCACACCGAGCTTGAGGGTTACTCAGCTGATACATTAATTCCCTGCAGAACAAACCAGAGTCTGTGTGTGTCTCTCAGTTGCCTGCGACTGCCACACCCTGTGGCTGATGATGTGCAGGCCCCAGGTGCAGGAGGGTGGCAAAGACGGCTTCCCCCTTGTACACACCTTTGCAGTCCTATGGGGACAAGACTCTGAACAGCTCGTAAACTGTTCCTGCTGAAGGCTGGGTATGAATGAGGGAAAAGCAAAATCTTTTGGGGACGAAGACTTCAGAAGCAGCTCCTCTCAAGTGCCTTTCTGAATCAAGCATGCCGCCTCATAGGGTCCCCAACACCCACCTCCTGGGGGGCAGAAGTTTCCTCCTTCCACCTCCAAACGTGCCAAGCTGAGGTAGGGGAAATGTGCCCAGGAACTGCCAAGAGTGACTGGCTCTGAAGCCCGAGACTTCTCACACCTCCACACAAACGTGGAGGGACGACATCAAAGAAATGTCATCAAATTTAAATTGGTGACCATGTTGTGGCTCTAAATATAAGCATGCTAGCCCACCCTACGCACAAACTCGTTACATCATGGCATTCTGGTTTGCCTCTTGGATGGCAGGAGGGGAGGGAACACTGAGCACGTCACTGGGATTTTCCAGAAGGAATTCCTTGGGGCCAGGTATCTAAGGGAGGGACACACAAAGTCCCCATTTGACAGGAAATCCCAGTCCTGATAGTCCCAGAGAAACCTTGCCCAGCATGAGCCCAAACTGAGGGACACATGAGATTAGGTTCCAAGCTGGAGTTGCAGTGGCTGCCATTTTGGGGCTTGGGCCTGCAACTCCCCCCACCGAATCCCATTTCTCTAGCTGACCTCAATCCCACACCCACACTGGTAAATCTTCAGGGAAATTTAGGAAACTGAAAAGATCCACCTGGGCCTGTTTGACAGCGTCTCTGCCAGGTGCAGCACCAGGCCTGGGCAGAGTATGTGCCAGGGAAAATCATCTCCCAGCAGGGAAAGATTAAATATGGCTGTCATTGGGCCCCCATGACCTGGAATCAGATCCTGTTATGAAGTATGCTGGCGCAGAGTGCAAATGCTTCCCCTGCTAAAATTCTAGGGTATTTCTGTCTTTCTCTCATAGTATTTCCCTTCCTGAGGGAAAACTTTTATTTTTTTTTCCCTCAGCCAGTTGGAATCCCCATCTAAATTGAGTGAACTTTTTAAAGCCTAAATAATTAGGAGAAAGGAAAAGAGAAACTGGACAGTTCGAATTATTTCTTTTGGCAAGTCTTATAAACTAATTTTTAAAAAAAACAACTTTAATTTTCTTACAGGCTCAGAACATAATGTCTGAGGAGGGAGGATTATATTCCTGAACAGAACCCGAAATAATTTAGGGCTGTGATAAATGTGATTTTAAAAAAATGTCCCTCCTCCTTAAATAATGGTCAGGAATGGAAAGGCAATCAGATAGAGCTTCTGGACCTTAAGAGGTGAAAAAGAACAGAAGGAACATCCAGCACGTGTCTACCCCTGACAAATGGCTTCCCGGGCGTGGTGTGTGCAAGGAATGTTAGCCATGGAGAAGGAAGGAGGCGTGGATGCACCTAGCATTCGTGCTCAGTGAAAGAAGCCAGATACGAAATCACAAAGGCCGCACATTATATGATTCTGTTTATACGAAATGTCCAGAGAAGCAAAATCCACAAATCAGAAAGCAGATTATTGTTATCTAAGGCCGAGAAGGACAGAGGAGCCTGGAGGTGCGGGCGGCTGAAAAGGCACAGGGGTTTCTTTTTCAGGTAACGAAAATGTTCTAAAATCAACTGTGGGGACGGATGCTGAGTCTGAATATAATCACAGCCACGGAACTGTGTATTTTAAATAGGTGGATTGCGTGGTGTGAACTGCATAAGTGGCAGCACACGCCTGTGATGCAGCTACTCAGGCAAGTGAGGCCGGAAGCTCGTGAATTGAAGCCCAGAGAACTTGGCAAGACCCTGCCTCAAAATGAAAATAAAAATAAAGTTATGAAATAAAACGGGCCGCAGATGTACTCAGTGCTCCCTGGGTTCAGTCCCCAGTAACACACACACTCACACACACACACACACACACCCTTCAAAGACTCTTACATATTTGCCGACAGTGGGCACTTTCTGCAACTGGCTACTGAGTGCTGTCAAGGGCTCCTACTCTTCCTGTGCAGACACAAAGGAGACACGGGGATGGGCCTGGTCTGGCACCCCAGAGGTCTCAGTGCAAGTGTGGGCTGTGACACCTGAGCTGGCCAAAAGGAGGAAGTGGTGGTGAAAGCCCTGCACTGAGGGCAGCCAGGTGGCACCCGGGCCCCTCAGCCCCTGGCCACGATGGAGGGTGACAGGAGCCAGCGCAGAGCCCTCAGGTGGGGAGGGCTCTAAGGGGAGTGACAAGGATATTTAGAAAGTCCGTTTTTCACCCTTTCCACCCCAAGTGTTTGTTGTTTCCAGTTGCCTAGTAACCTAACAAACGCTGGTCCCTGTCCAGCAGAGCACAGTGACTCTCAGTGTGGTTTGACAGAGACAGAGTTGCACACATCTGCCTCCCTCACGCTCGTGGGACCGGCCTCGCCTCCTCGTCATCTCCGCGGAATGTGTGCTCCTCACCACCCAGTTTCCCAGCTCAGCCACAGTCAGCAAGGATGGGACCCACCAGAGCCCTCCGGAAAAGGAGGCGGGGGTTCCGGGATGAACGCCATGGTCATCACACCCGCGTTGTCACTCACAGCACAGGAGCCTGGGGCACAGCTGACCCACGGGGACAGGCGTACGGCAGCCTGGGGCCAAGCAGGCCTTCCCCACTCGCCTCCCAGGAGGGGATCCCACAGCTACTTCACCCCAAAGGACAGAAGACATCTATTTCCATTTCCTACAGTGCTGTCTGCTGCTCTAATGGGTTACAGGTGCTCCTGTAGGAACAGGTGTGTCCATGGGTGTCAGTGAGCATGTGCACACACACACACACACACACACACACACACACAATCCACTCCACTGCCTGTCTGTGAAAGGAAAAAGGACCCTGTGTAACAATCCCAATCCACCACCCCAACCCACTCACATCCCTTGTATCGTAAGGTGGCATGGTATTTACAAACCTCCCTTACACTTTAAAACATTTTCAGATTCCTTAGGGTAACTTAGACAGTATAAATGTTACCAAAAAAAAGTTCTACTGCATTTATGGAGTAGTGACAAGGAATAAAAATCTGCACATGTTCAGGACTGACACAGTTTCTTTTTTCTCCCCAAATGCTTCCCATGCAAAGTTGCAGTACATAAAGAAACGTTTCTATTAAGTTTTCTAATTTTTTGAAAAGTTTATACAGACCTAGGTAATGAAGAGACGCTTGTGGAATTGAACTGACGACCTCATCCTAATTACATGATGTCAAGATGACACTAAAACAACTTAACTAAACGTTTCCTGAATGCTTGAGTCTAACTAACACGCGGGACGCCGGGGCCCCCGGAAGAAGCAGAAGGCTGATCGCCAGGCTGGCGGAGCTCCGTGTGTCAGTGAGACCCACACATGCTTTTTGCTGGCATTTTCAGCTTGAGCTCTCGCAGTCACTGGAGACGCCATCCGCATCTTCGCAGCCTCGCACCTCCCGGAAGCTCGCCGTCCCCGGCTCCGCGAGTGCCCCCGCCTGTGCCTGTCCATCTGTGCCAGTCGACTTGATGTCAGGCCACGCGTCTGGCTCTGTGCACCCACACTTCCTGTCCACTCCCCATCTCCTCCCCAGAGGAGCCAGACCTGCAGGGGGGTCCCCCAGGGCTCTGCTCTGGCTTTCCCGATGCTCTGCTGTTCTGAACTCCCCAGAGGTGCAGGCCTCCGCCCCATTCTCAAAAGCGAGAGAGGTCCGGAGCGCAGTCAACAGGTGGGAACAGTGGTGCGGCTTTCCTAACTCACACTGGCAGCGGGACTGGGTAGGGAGGCAGTGCAGGGGGACCTTGCTAATGGACACACACTGGACACCATCACTGAGGCTGTTGCTGGGGTAAAGGTCAAAGGCCGCGCCCATCGCACTAGCCAGGTGCCTCTGTTTCCTCATCTGTAAAATGGGGACTGACCTGGCTGCCCGCGGCTGGTGTCAGAACGTGGGCTGCATCCATA